CTTCTGGTCTTTCGTATGCCAAACTACTTGCAGCATTCATGGAACACAGCTGATTCAAAGTTATAGCCTTGGTCTGAATGCAGTTTGTATGGCATACCAAACCTGAAGAAGAATTCACTAATATCCAAAGCTATAGTTGTAGCTTCATGATTTGGTATTGCATATGCCTCAGGCCACTTGGTGAAATAATCCATCACCACACAAATGTACCTGTTTCCAGCATGAGTTTGGGGCAAAGGATCAGCAATGTCAATGGCTACTCTTTCCATTGGTGCACCAACTTGATATAATTTCATTGGAGAACGTCCCTTATGCTTGGGTCCCCTTTTAGCACAACATGTACTGCAGGTCCTCCACCATTCTTCCACATCTTGCCTCATGCCTATCCAGAAAATCAATTATTGGCTTCAAATCTTGGTCTTTCTTCTGCGCTGCTTTAATATCTATACTTGGTTCCACTTCACCATCATCAACTCCTGTCACTTTGACTTCAGCGTGATGGCACCTGGTCAGTTCAATCTCTCTTTTGCAGCAATGTCTGCAGTCATTTTTGCAGGGTCTTTGGCTCAGTCCATCGCCATTTCCATGAGATTTTCCTTCTCTATATTCAACATCATAGTTATATTGGTCTATCTTTCCGAACCAAAGTGCCAGTTGTCCATCTGGGTTCTTTAATGATCGTAACCAATATAATGCAGCATGGTCTGTCCTGATGGTAAACCTAGCCCAATAGAGGTAAGAATGTAAATATGTCAGACTCTTTACTATAGCAAAGAGTTCCCTCTGTGTTACACAGTAGTTCCTCTCTGGTCTACTCAACACCCTACTGAAGTTGGCCACCACATGTTCGTTTTCACCCACTTTCTGAGACAACATTCCTCCAATTTCGACATTACTAGCATCACAATCCAGTATGTACGGTAGTGAGAGATTTGGAAGCTTTAAAAGTGGAGCTGAGGCCACTTTTTCTTTCAATGTCTTGAAAGCATGCTGGCAAGAAACTGTCCATTCGAACTTCTGGCCTTTTATTGTCAAATCATGTAGTGGAGCAGCTATAGTTGCAAAGTCCTTCACAAACTTCCGGTAATAGGTACAGAGTCCCAAGAAACTTCTTAACTCTCCCACATTGTCTGGTGTTGGTCAATCATGCACTGCTTTCACCTTGTCAGGATCAGTTTGCACACCACGCTCATTTACAATGTGTCCCAAATAAAGCACCTCTTTCTGGAATAAATGGCATTTCTTGGGATGGAGTTTGAGGTTTGCTGCTTTCAAACGCTTGAATACTTCCTCTAGCCGGGACACTATGACATCATCCAGGTACACTAGGGCTATCCTCCATTGTAG